CCACAAGGCCCCCTATGTCCTTTTCTGTCAAACTGCTTTCAAGCTGCGCAGTCCTCAATACATCCTACCATCTGGGATTGTTCCTCCCCAGCTGCAGGACTCTTTGCTTCCCCTTGCTGAACCTCATGAGGTTCCTGCCATCTCATTTCTCCAGCCTGTCTCCTCTAGATGACCCTCTGGAATGGGGTCACCTAGACTCTCTGGAATATCATCCATGCCTCATGGTATTGTGTCAGCAGAACTTCTGCTTTGTGTCAGCAAACTTGATGAAAGTACAATCTGACCTACCGTCTAGATCATTAATGAGGCTGTTGAGCAAGACTGGACCAAGAACTGACCCCAAACACACACCACTTGTTTCTGGCCTCCAATCATACCTTGCAACACTGATCACCACTGTCTGGGCCCAACTGTTCAACCAGTTTTCAACCCACCTCACTGACTGCTTGTCCAGCTCATACATCAACAACTTCTCATGGCAATTCATTACACAACATTCTCTTAACCTTGTCTGAAATTAGTTGTCTACCTTTGCAAAATGAAATCTTTTGTCACAAGTTTAAAATGCATGCTCACAATTTATCTATTTCCCATGAATGTTGAAACACAGTGTGTAAATTAAGCTTAGAAGGCTAAGTAGCTTCAGGCTTCTTTATGAGATATTATTAACTTAATTATTTATGAATCTCTCTCTTTGTTGTAATGTTCTTCAGCTTAAGGTTATTGAACTGTAACTTCCTATCAGAGCATCTCTAATTAGACTAGCATTTCCCAATACATTAGAAAGCACAGTGAAGGAGGAAGTACCATTACCATCTGATTTTCTTCTCCTGCTTTTACGCAATAGCATACAAATGATTAAGCTCAGTGCTTTTGTGAATTAGGACAAAATGGTTGATGTTAACTTCTGTACTTATCACTTTTTTTTTTTTTGTGAGGAGGGAGCTTTCTTTTTCAAGTAGAAATAGATAAAATTTGTTTTCATCAAGAGAACACGAAGAGTCCAACATGAAGACTATCCTCCTTTCAGATTAGTCTCTCAAAGCCATTTGGTTGTTCAGCTCTTAATGTGTTCTTAAAGCTTTTTCTACAATATATTTGCAACCTGGTTAAGCCACTTCTATATCCTGATATTTTTGGAAGCATTTAATATGCACATCACTGGATTGGTGCGTTTTTATTTAATCAGTAAATAAAAGCTAACAACCAAAAAAAGCACAAAATGCATGTCTGTGTTTGGTAAGTTAAAAGTAGCTTAGCATTTAATTCTGCCTTGAATCTGATGACTAACTGAAAAGAGTAACATTTGAGATGAATCAGGGCAACCATTAATCGGAATAAAATGGCTACACTGCACAGAACACTATCCTTCCCACACTCTTACCATGAGGGATTGTCACTGTCATCCAGAACATCTGGAGCAGCTAATAAAATTAACAAAATGTTTGACTGATTCTTCTTCTGTGTTTTAAAAGAGAGAAGCAAACAGATAAAATAACTTCCTCGTGCACTTGTTAATTACTTGAGTCTTTCAAGGTCTTATATTTACAACTGTGTGAGGTCATTTGCACCTTTGCAGAGCATCACCGGGATTAACAGCTGGTCCATCCACATCATATTAAAAGATCAGGGTGTGAGAAATTGTACTTCATCATGTTTTGTTCATTATTGGTTCCTCTCTTTCTCTGCAGCAGTAACAGGACACGGGGTGGCATATAAACCTCCTGCTTTCCAGAAAATGCCAGCTCAGGGAAAAGACCACTGCTTGTTAATCAGAGTGCCCATCAGGACAGCTCTGACATAGAACCATAACAATAACTCCAGCCAAATAGCTTGGAAAATGTACACACTGAGTACTGTGTGTCCTTGAAACAATATTTACTGTTTGTTTGTTCCTTAGCAAGAAGGGATGCAGATACATTTTCTTCTAATTACGAGACTGCAAAATCAGACCAAATGGCTATCCCTGGGCACAGATTTTACACAGAGTACTTAGGATACCACTTAGGATGATTAGCATGACTTCAAATTCATATGAGCTCCTTTCTCTCCACACTATTATTTGATGAGGTACTTTGGCTTGCTGAACCATGCACAGATGACATGCAGCCCAGGTCTGATTCTACAAGCCATTCCACGTGGAAGATGCCTGACTTCTTGCCCAACCTGACAGAAGCTGGAAACATCTCCATAGAAATTTACATCCGTTCGTGTAGGACAAAAATCAGCCACCGTTCATGACTCCTGGCACAACTAATTACAATTCAAATACAGTGCTGACCTGCACTGACTCAGTTAGCAGGCAAGGAACATTACATAAAATCAGCTGTGTTAAAAGTGATCGTTCACCTATTACTCGTGCTACAGAAATACCTCTGTCTCAATAAAAAACAACTTCCACTCTGTCCACTGCCCTCCGTGCAAAGGGGAGAATAAAACTTATTTACAGGAGCTCTGCACTTTTAGAGTCTAAGGGCATAGAAAAACAGATCATGTACTCTGATCTCCTTTATATCACAAGCATTTCACCTTCGTAACTTGAAGAGAAATTAGTAGTTTATTTCTGATTTAAGTAGAATGTGTTTAGCTGAAGGCTAACAACCAGAAGGGCATCAAGCTTTGAACTGAAAACATAAAAAAATATAAGATTCACTAATTCTCTTCCTAGTCTGCCCCAGTAATTAATCACTGTGATACTGAACACAGCCAACTATGCTTATCAGGTTACAGCTTTGAATCACACATCCTTTCTCTGCTTAATTTGAAGGTCTCCTAGTTGATATATTTTCACTCTCCCCCAATCCTCTTTTTTTGCTTCATCAGGTCACTCTACAGTCTTCTTTTTGATTACACAGACAAATGGAAATGTCAAGTTTCTTACTGTATGGCATTTTCTCCAGATGCCCAATATATATATTTTTTTTCACAGCTTCTCCTATATACATACATATATATATATATATATATATATATTTAATGAAAAAGCTATGAAAAAATGCAAGAACTGACTGCAATATTCTTGTGTCAATCTCACCAGTGCCACATACAGCCACAAAATCTTCTGGCTTCTAATAACTGCTCCCTACTCAAGGGCTGCATTAACCCTTTTGACTTAATACTGCAGTAGGAACTCACCTTCAGTTGCTTTTCCTCTAAATCCTTTTTAGACTTTCCACTTCCGTGAGAGCAAATTGGCCTTCATTTTCATTGTACAATTTTTTACTTGCTTGTATGAAAATGTGCTTTTAATGGCTCCAGCTTACCAAGAACTCCAGTAACATATTTGCTTTATCCTTTTTATTACTATGCTCCACCCAAGAAATTTTATTAGTGGATACCCCCCATTTATGTTTAGATAATTAGTAAAAATATAAGGCAACTAACCTCTAATTGATCGTTCTGACAGCAATTGTTCAGCTCTCACTTAAACCCAGGGACATCTAAACACTAAATACATCACCGTTTTCAATAGTAAAATACCCCTTGTGCTTAAAATTCCAGCATACTGTAGCACTTCTAGTTAATTAAAGTAAAAGACATGCATTTTGGAAATAATATTTTTAAAAATTATTTATTCATTAGGACAATATAACTTTTAACTTGTACCGAGTTTAGCTATCCTCACGTTTGAGATGATAAAAAGCCTTAAAAACAAAGACCTTATTATGACTCAACCATTAAGCAACATGCCAAATACAATGCCTTTTTTTTCCTGGAGTGAACTGCTGCTATTGAGTAAGTTTGATTCAAATCATGCAGCTCAGCTGACACCTAACCTGAGCATGCAAATGGAGAGTGGGGTTTAACTGCACATGAAGTACTCAGTCAAATGCAGCATGGGATTCTGTGGAATTGCTGGATCCATTCCATCAACATGCTTTTTACTTTCAACAGTACAAAACACTAAGTGTCTCCTGTCAGTTAATGACCACTCTCTTAACAGCAGTGAGCAACAAGCCATTCAGCACTTGGATGATAGCACAAGGAAAAATCTACTGCAGAGAGCTTAGCATTCAGTTAATAGACAGAACTCAATTGGATGAAGTAATGTGTTGGTAGGTCAATTTCACAATCACCTCTAACGACCAAGGAGCTGGAGAAGATGCCCAAATATTTAGCATCTTTGACAGATCTGAGTATAACTAAAGAAAGAGGCCACAAACTCTTTCACCCCAAACTTATTTTAACACATATTAATGAAAATGTAAACACCCTTCTCTATCAGTCTTCAGAGGAGCTCTCATTGGCCTACATACAGCTAATCCTAGGAATGTGAACCACGAGTAAAGCACTAAACCCTTAGGAAATTCGTTGAAATAAACATAATATCCATAGACTTGATTTTCAAGCGCATGAAGCATACACAGATTACATTTGAGAATACTATGGCTGAAAACTGGGACATTTACTCTGTTTCTGCTGTTAACTGCTGCCTCGGCTTCCCTGCCCTTTACCTCACTTATAGCATCAAAGTATTTTTAAATGTGTTTTCTACAGTCACGTACGAAGAATTCATTAAAAGCAGTATGTTAAAGTACTTTTAAGGAAAATGGATCTGTTAGCTTTTAACACTTCAAAGTATTAAGTCTCAAGCAAAGCTAATCTTTATAACCACAGCAGCTAGTTTATCATCTTGTTAACAATAACAGAAAATAAATCTGTTAGATAAAGCTATCTGTTTGTGCAAACTGGTGAAGATTAAGAGGTACAAACATTTCTGTGCCTTCCATAGCATGAATCATGGAATGGTTTGGGCTGGAAGAGACCTCAAAGATCAAATAATTCCACCCCATCTTCCATGGACAGAGCTGCCAATCACTAAGTCAGTCTAAGGACTCCATCCAACCTGGCCTTGAACACTTCCAGGAATGGGGCAACCACAACTTCTCTGGCCAACCTGTGAAAATGAATATCAAATACCAAAACTCCTTGGTTGCTTTGCCTGTCACCTTCTCTGAGGAGACAACAAGGCAAAATACTCTGAGAAAAGCTGCACTCACCCGATCTTCTTCTTCTCTGACATCTGGCATGGTGCTGATACAGAGGCTGACTGCAGTGATGGCAACAAAAGAGATTGAAATGCAAGCAAAGATCTTCCCTGGAATCCCTGAGTGGGGGTTCTCCACCATATCCCTGAGATTTCTCATGCACAAACTCAACCAGTTATTGTCCTGGAAGGCACACTGAGTAGTTTCACTAAACATCATCTCCCCTTCATACATCCCGGCTTCAGCTGCCTCCTCCTCTTTCTGTTGCAATCTCTTTTTACAGCACCACTCCAGGTGGTCCTCTTCTATCCCCCAGTACACAAGCTCCTCCTGAAAAGAAAGAGCACACATCTCCCTGAGAAGTCTCAGCTTCCCAGCTGTCAAGAAAGTCATGATCGTCCTGAAGGCACTAGGATTACGGTCAAAAAAAAATTCATTGCAGCTAACATCATAGTCATCACAGATGTTCATGATCTCATCATAATTGTTGCAAGACTTTAGCTTCCCAAGCCTGGTCAAAGGGCAGTTCTCCAAGGTGGTCCAAGGAATTTTGTATTTAATACCACCTACATTGATGATCACAAACCTGGTCCGGTCATCCAGGCGTGCTAAGTAGCACAAGTCTTCATTGGGGTGCAAAAGTTTGGCCTTTCTGTAGAAAAATCCTTTCTTGGTTTGCACTTCACACAAATTTTCCAACTTATTGAAGGAGTAGGAGCTGAACGCAGGATCTGCATTCCCAGTGAGTAATGCCATTTCTTGATACGTTTGCTGAGGTCATTGGGAGGCTACTCAAAGAAAGGCATCTGGACCTTGATTGGAGAGTCGGTCTGTGAAACAGAATTTTTAAACGGCAATAAAATGAGGGCTTTGCTAGAGAAAAAAAACTATCCCAAGAAACTTTCCTCCATGACATTACTTTTTATCCTATTATCTTAGAACTATACTCACTCTGTACCCAGTAGAAATTAAGAACTTAAACTGCAGTAAGGTTGGAAGCCCATGTCTACCTCTAAAGAGTTTAGTCAGTGAATGACTGGGAAAAAAAACAGTGTATTATCATTTTCAGAAATGTCTTTTCTAGACGTTTAAGCAATATCCCAGGTGTTAAGGGAAGAGAAACTGGGGCTTTTAGATAAATGGCAATTCTCATTTTAGCAACTTAAGTTTTTATTATTTTGGCCCATCTACTTTATTTATTAATTACAAAAATGCCTGAAGCATGAGGACAAAGTGTATGCCTACAGTACAATCAGAAAGACTACTGTAGTAATGCTGGTAATTACTGTTTAAAATTTACTAATCTTAGGTATCAAATGCAGTGAATATGTTGGAGTTGAGAATCTGCAGCCAGCACCCAAACCAGCTTGGGTGCTTAAGTGCAGAGCATGTACTATCGAGACTCATTTGCCACTGGTAGCCCAATAAAGTGGATTAAAAGCTATATTGGGCATATCTACTGGAAGAGTCCCACACTCCAAAAAGAAGAAAAGCTGTGCTCTCAATGTTAAGGTAACAGCCATAAAGTCTAATAACATCTCTTGCACAGAGGTGCAGGATCCCAGCTGTCAGGGAGGTGGTGATCTGGAACAGAAATGCTCTGGATCATGGATACTGCCTGAGATTCTGGTGTGTTTCTGCCCGATGGAGGTGGAAGGGGTGCCCTGCGACCTGGCAGCAGCTCCAAAATGGGAGACTGAACCTCACAACAAAGCAGTGCTGGAAACAACCCACCTGCTGCTTTTACTTCCAGATAATGCAGAACTCACACAATCACATTAGGCTACAGGTTGGTGTAAGGTGTTGACTGTTCTACCCTCTTCCTGACAGACATTCCTGAACATACAATTGGGATGAAATAATCTGGATTTTTCCCATTAGTCTCAGCAGGGGATAACATGCTGGAAAGGAGCTCTGAGGAGAAGGTCTTAAGTGTCACTGTGGATATCAGGTTGGCCATGAAGAACAACGGTATTTTGGGTGTATGAAGAAGAGTGAGGCCAGCTGGTCAAAGGAGGTGATCCTCCCCATTTCCTCTGCCCTGGTGAGGCCACATCTGGAGTACTGTGTTTAGTTCTGGGTTCCTCAGTTCAAAAAAGACAGGGAACTTCTAGAGAGTTCAGTGAAGGGCCACTAAAATGATTGGGGGTCTGAAACATCTCCTACACAACGAAAGGCTGAGAGATATTGGACTCTTCAGCTTGGAAAAGAGAAGACTGAGAGGGGATCTCATGTCTCATTATAAATATCTAAAGTGCAGGAGTCAAGTCGGTGGGTCCAAGCTCTTATCAGTGGCATGCAGCAATAGAATAAGAGGCAGTGGGTAGAAACTGTATCACTGGAAGTTCCATAAAAACATGTGGAAGAATGTCTAACTGTGAGAGTGATGGAGCTCTGGAACTAGCTGCTCAGAGAGGTTGTGGAGTCTCCTTCTCTGGAGATACTCAGGATCCACCTGGATGCTTTCCTGTGCAACCTACTGCAGGGAACTTGCTTTAACAGGGGGGCTGGACTTGATGACCCCCAGTGCCCACTGCCAACCCCTACAATTCTGTGTTTCTGTGTGACTATGTAATCTCAAAAGGATGGCAAAAAGAAAGAAGCTAGGAACATAACTCTACCATACTTTCCTACTCAGGCTACAAGACAACAGGGAAACTGGAAGCTTTTTAATGTAAGGCAAAAGATTCTCCTTGCAAGAAGCTTTGCTCAGGGGGCTAAGTAGTCTAATCCACTGTTCCACTCTGCCTTATCAAATTAAGCACTGTGTGTAACTCTAGGATTCAGTTTGTGCTTTCTGCCTACCCCTCCTTTACCACATCACAATCCACAGATCTCCTGAACATTTTTTTTCACCTACTATGTTGCTTCCTCGCTTTTAAAAGACCAAAGTTCTCCACACCTGTTTCTCCAAATCAGTAATAGTATGTCTTGAAATGCTACTGTGTAATTGCATGTAAAGTAAGTAGGAAACGAGAAACTGGCGTCAGTGTTAGGACTATATAAAAGACTGGACAAAGAATGGATGCAGTCAGTGATGGTGAACAATCTTAAGCATAGAATGTGGAAAACTTGCAAGTTGAAGGAAATAAAGAAGAAAAAGTGTAAAGGAAGCCCTCATCCTGATGGTTACTATGAAGCAATAATTCCATAATTTAGAAGCAACGTTCTCTAATTCCCTTTGAATCTCATATTTCAGGCTGCAGAGAATACTGAACAAGTGGGTGCTAGGAAAAGATAGAGCACACATTAGAATACATTGACAGAGAAGCATCTCCCTTAATTCATAATCAACTCATTACCTCTCAGTTCATTAGACTTAATCAAAACCATCTCCAACAAGTAGTGAGTGCTTGCTACTCAAGGCCATGAGTCACCCTCTAAGTATTAGAGCCATGCAGCAATAGCAGTGGCACTCTTCCTTCTATGTTTCACTGAAGATAGGCATTAAATTTTAGTTTAGTGGTGTTAGATTAAAGGCATTTGTGTTGTATATTTGAAAAAAGTTAGAGAAAGGATGGGTTACATACAAAAAAGTGTGCTCTAACAATAACATATACTTCTTGTCAATGTTAAAATTTCAGAAGAGCTAATGATGCCAAAATGCCTCTAGATTCATTTGGGTCAGAAAAATTTTGTTCAGATATCCAATACCGAACAACAGATCAAAGCTCATTCCTCTGACTAAGGGCCAGTGAAGGACAAGTAGCAGCAACGTGTATTTTGAGAAATGGGTGCTTTTATAGCACCGGCTTGAGTGCAGCTGGGACTGCAAATACCGTTACTGTCATAATGAGAGTGCATTGTCAGCACAGCATTTCCTTTAAGGATTTAGTCTCTTGTTGCTTTTTGTCAGTAAGATAAAATATTCATCATCACTACTCCAGGCAATGTGCTTTTGTTTTCATGCCTTGCCTGTTACACAAGTCAACACTGAAAAACTAATTTACATTGTTTTGACATCAAGGCCAGGATTTGCTTTTCCCCTCTACTCCACATAGCAGGTTGTTGCATAAAGGAACCAGATACATTTCACAGAAATATTTTGAATGTAATCATTTATCTGCTCCTTCTTTCTTCCAAGCAGCAGCTAACTAAATGTGAAAATCTGGAAGCATATTTTATATTACAAAATCTCTGACTTACAGATGGTTAACTTTTTATTTTGTGAATATACATAGGGCACTCCAAAAGTAATGCCTCCCATTTATTTCCGTGGAAACTACAACAGATATAAAGAGCACAACAGCACTATTTGACAAAGCAAATTCTCTGTGAAGTATCCCATTTAAGATTAACTTTAAAAGCCAATGCATCCAACAGTGATACAACATTATAATCTATTTGGCATTTATATTGTTTGATCAGACACATGGTTTCAGGAAGCACTATTAAAATACTAATAAAATGGAATAAGTTGCCCTGTGCAGTGACACACGACAGAATTTGACTTGGTATTTGTTGTTCATCATTTTTAAATGCTGTGGAAGAAATGCTATATAAATGTTTCAGTTACATGATCTCATATAGGGTGGGTTATACAAACTGTGAATTCTTTTCTTTTAAAAGCAGAGTCAAACAACAGCATACTGCTGTTCATACAGCATATAGATATTTTTCACTGAAGTATTTAAATGAATATCCAAAGCCTCCCCCTCAATGGAGAGGGGACTATTTCCCCACTTATGGCCTTTTCACCTCGCTTGCCCTCATCAACTTTCTTCTCACAAACATTCTTCAGCATCCTGTTCTATCAGCATTTTTGCATCTAAGTCATATGTGACTTTACACGTGTCTTCACTGTTCTCAAATGCTATCTCCAAGCAAGTGGAAGAAAAGATGGTTATCAGGAGTAGTCGGCATGGATACACCAAGAGAAAATCATGCTTGACCAGTCTGGCAGCCTTCTCTGATGTCATCATCAGCTGCGTAGACAAGGGGAGAGCTGTGGATGTTGTGTACCTTGACTTCAACAAGGCTTATGACACTGTCTCCAGTATCATCCTCATAGGTAAGCTTAAGAAGAGTGGGATAGTGGACAATAAGCTGTATTGAGAATTGGTTGTCAGAGCTCAGAGGGTTGTGATCAGTGGTGCAGAAACCATTTGGAGACCCGTAGCTAGCGGTGTTCCCCAGTGGTCAGTTCTGGGCTCAGTCTTGTTCATTGTTTTCATCAATGACACAGCTGAAAGGACAGAGCCCACACACGTTGAGTTTGCTGATGACACAAAGGTGGGAGGAGTGGCTGACGCACCAGAACACTGTGCTGCCATTGCACAAGACCTGGGCAAGCTGGAAAGTTGGGCAGAGACAAATACTATGAGGTTCAGCAAAAACAAGTGCAGAGTCCTATGTGTGGGGAGGAATAACCGCATGTATCAGTACAGGATAGGAGATGACCTGCTGGAAAGGAGCTCTGCAGAGAAGGATCTGGGTGTCCCAGCGGACAAACAGTTGACCAGCAGTATGCCCCTGTAGCTAAGAGAGCTGATGGTATCCTGAGTGCATTATAAACAGTGTAGCCAGCAAGTCAAGGGAGGTGATCCTCCCCACATCCTCTGCCTTGATGAGGCCATATCTGGAGTACTGTGCCTAGTTCTGGGCTCCTCAGCTCCAAAAAGACAGGGAATAACCGAAGAGAGTCCAGCAGAGGTTACAGAGATGACTAGGGGCCTGGACCATCTGCCTTATGAGGAAAGGCTGAGAGATCTGTCTGGAGAAGACTGAGAATGGACCTCATCACTGTTATAAATATCTGAAGTGTGGGAGTCAAATGAATGGGGCCAAGCTCTTTTTATTGATGAGCAGTGATAGGACAAGGGGCAGTGAGCAAAAACTGCAACACTGGAAGTTCCATACAAATAACAGGGAGAACTTCTTTATTGTGATACTGACTGAACACTGGAACAGGCTGTCCAGAGGTAGTACAGTCCCCTTCTCTGGAGATATTCAAGACCTGCTTACCTATGCAATCTACTCTAGGGAACCTGCTTTGTCAACAGAGTTGAACTTGGTGATCTCTAGAGGTCCCTTCCAACTCCCACAATTCTGTGATTCTGAGATTCTGTGATTCTGTTTGTATCTGCTACAGAATAAAGATGAGAGAAAATATTGGCCTTCAACTGAATGGCACAGCAGACATAGTGGTAATAGAAATGGCCAAGTTATCTAAATCCATCTGCTTTAGTCTTTACTATTATTTACTTGCCCACAGGAATCCCAACCTGTCAAGACCAAAGGGAAAGTATGAAACGTGGAAAACTTACCCTTTCTGAAGAAATATCCAGCTGGGAAACACTTGAATATATTGGATATACTCATGCCTATGGGACCTGACAATCACAAGTGCCAAGAGAGATGATTGATGTCACTCTTAGGCAACCCTTGAAAATCTTTCAATCAGGAGACACTCCTGAGCACTGGAAGAAAGTAGATGTCACTCCTGTCTTCAAAAGGGGCAGGATGGAGGATCAGACACACTATAGGGCAGTCAGTCTCACCTTGATCCCCAGAAATGTGACTAAGCAAATAATCTCGGAAGCCATTGGAACACATGAAGAAGGAGATTAGGAGCAAACAGCAAGGATTTAAGAAGAGGGAAATTTGCCTGACCAACCTAATAACCTTCTGTGACAAAATGACAGGCTTGGTGGACAAAGAGAGAGCAGTGAATACTCTTCATACTGACTTTAGCAATCCTTTTGACAGGAATGCCCACAGTATCCTCATAGACAAACTGACTAAACAGAAACTAGATTAAGTAGACCTGCTGAGCTCAGAGGATAGTGATCAAATGGCAAAAAGTGCAACTTGAATGCAGTCACTAGTAATGTCCAATACTTTTGGTATCTTCATTAATGACAGAGTGATGAGACAGAGTACACACTCACCTATTCTGCAGACAAAATGAAATCAGAAGTAGCTGCTGAGGCATCAGTTGCACTCAGAGTGGCCTGGGCATGATGGAGAAATGGGCTGACAGTAACTTCTTGAAGTTCAACACATGGGAAATGTGAAGTCCTGCCCTGGGAAGGAACAACCCCATACCCCTATACAAGGAGGGTGCCAAACAGCTAGAAAGCATAAAAGGAAATGGAGGTGCCGGTGGAATACAAACTAGCCAAGACCCAGCAACATACCCTTGCAGCATCCTCAGCTGTGTTAGGAAGATTGCTGCCAGCAGGTTGAGAGAGATGAGACACTGGTGAGATACATTTGGAGTGACATTCAATTCTGGCCAGTATAAGTGAGACTTGGATGCTCTGGAGCAAGACCACCAAAGGGCCATGAAATGATTAAGAGCTAAGAACATCCAACATATAAGGAAAGACTAAGAGAATTGCAATTGCTCAGCTTGAAGAAGAGGTTTAGTTTAATCTTATCTGTATATAAGTACACAGTGGGAGGCAGTAAAGATGATGGAGCCAGACTCTTTCAGTCATGTCTAGTGGGAAAGGACAAGAGGCACAAATAGAAATATAGGAAATTGTTGTTATTTCCTGTATTTTTCTTAAGGCTAAGAAACTGGTGCTGTGAGGGTTGCCAAGAGAGGTCATGGAGTCTCCTTCCCTGGGAATACTCAAAATCATCTGGATACAATCTCCAGCCGACCCACTGGTGTTCAAAGTAAATAACCTCCAGAGGTCCCTTCCCATCTCCGGTATTCTGTGATTTTGTGAATACTCTATTTTTAACTTCTGTTGTAAGTTACAAAGTTCTTTATCAATGACATTGATGACGGAATCGAGTGCACCCTCAGCAAGTCTGCTGACGACACCAAGCTGAGTGGTGCGGTCGACACGGTTGAAGGAAGGGATGCCATTCAGAGGGACCTCGAGAGGCTAGAAAGGTGGGCCCGGGTGAACCTGATGAGGTTCAGCTCGGCAAAGTGCAGAGTTCTGCACTTGGGCCGGAGGAATCCCAGGCATCCATACAGACTGGAAGGAGCGGTCCTTGAGAGCAGCCCTGTGGAGAAGGACCTGGGGGTCTTGATAGATGAAAAACTTAACATGAGCCAGCAGTGTGCCCTTGCGGCTCGGAAGGCAAATGGTATCCTGGGCTCCATCAAAAGAGAGATGGCCAGCAGGGACAGGGAGGTGATTGTTCCCCTCTACTCTGCTCTTGTGAGGCCCCATCTGGAGTACTGCGTCCAAGTCTGGAGCCCCCAGTACAAGAAAGACAGGGAGCTGTTGGAGAGGGTCCAGAGGAGGGCCACAAAGATGATCAGGGGACTGGAGCACCTCCCCTATGAGGACAGGCTGAAAGAGCTGGGCTTGTTCAGCCTGGAGAAAAGAAGGCTGCAGGGTGACTTCATTGCAGCCTTCCAGTACCTAAAGGGAGCCTACAAACAGGAGGGGAATCAACTCTTTGAAAGGGTAGATAACAGCAGGACAAGGGGAAATGGTTTTAAGTTGAGGGAAGGGAGATTGGACATCAGGGGGAAATTCTTTACAGAGAGAGTGGTGAGGTGCTGGAACAGCTGCCCAGAGAGGTTGTGGATGCCCCATCCCTGGAGGTGTTCAAGGCCAGATTGGATGGGGCCCTGGGCAGTCTGGTCTAGCATTAGGTGGGAAGGTTGGTGGCCCTGCATGTGGCAGGG